GGTGTTTGCCATCGGGGTTGGGTTGTCGTCGCTTGGCAACGACGTTGTAAAACAAGCCAGTTCACCTCGTGAACTCGGCAACCAGGTTACCGTTTTCTTTCGCCCCTGTATTTTGTTTTGGCGGTAACCATGAATGGTGGTCGAGTAGATCATGTGCGGGGTGAAAAACCCTCACTCCGCGCAAGGGGGATGGTCGCACCACGTTGTGTTAAAATGGTCAAGCACCTCCGAGGCAGTTACACAGTGCTTACAACTGTCTCTGGAAGTGAAAGCACCAGAAAATAAATTAATTCATACGCAGCTGTCATCCGTACGCAAGGAAGTAAGCACAAGATGCCGAACACCCTTAGCAGGATGCAGCGCACCCTTCATGCGACTCGCCGAATATCTCACGGCGCTTCGCGCTTGGTGATGTGAGAGCCTGGTCCGGTGAGAACCCGGCGTGCTCCGTCCCGGCTTTGTAGGCATGCGAGGTCAATGGTCTAACGACTACGGCGTGCACGACTATGAGTACACCCCCTCCCCTCCCCCTCTTTTGTATATTGTTCTATCGCTGCTCCACGCCCCAACCGTCCGGCCGATACCCCCGCGTGGTAGTGAAAGCTCCCGCCGCTTCTTACACCGTGCAAAGAACGGGAGGACGGCGGCGGCGGCAACGTTCGGGTTGGGGAGCGGGGGGACCAGTTGTGTGGAGGATGACACCGTATTTTTTGTGCTTAATTTTCGTGGAAATCCGTGCTTTGCTTTTATTTTTTTGACCTCCGCGGCCGGCAGCAGCAGCGGCAGCACGGCAGCAGCACACCAAGCCGATCGTAACGCGCGGGAGCGAGTACAAGGAACACCCACACCTTGCTCACCCAGCACAACTTGACACCGTTTTCGCCCCGCACGGGTATAGCAGTGCCACAGAAAGTATGGCGTGCAACAGCAACGCCTGCGGCTACACATGCAGTGAGTGCTTGCTGCCGCGTACGAATGAATACCAGCAGCATGTCTAGAGTTGCGGCATTTGCGTGTGTTTTCACGAAAACGGCGTACACCGACAGAGAAGAGGGCATGCACGCATGCAGGCAGCGGCCAGAACAAGGCTGCTGTGGTTCTACAGCAAAAAGGCGGGGGAAACCCTCGCGGCGATTTGTTGCGTTCGGGGACGCAATGCGCAATCATACATGAAACGCACAACAACTGCTGTACAGCAGAACAGCAGCACAGCAGCAGTACTCTCGGCCGGCCGTTGCTTGTTGTGGCAACAACACGAAGGGGTGCTATCTAGGGAGCAGGGTGGCTGCTCTGGCTGCTGGCTTGGTGTGTTCAGAATTTTCAACAGCAGTACAGCAGTACAGCAGTACAGCCAGTACTACTGAGCCGTACAGCAGTAGTGCATGCCGAAAAAACGAGAACAGCGGCCGGTGCCCGGTGCCGCTCCTTGCGTTGTTCTGCCCGCTTGTCTCTAAGAACCCCTGCGTGCGAATGAGAGTGCAAACGCTACACCAGCCCCACACCACTGCTGCTCGTGCTTGTTGCCCCACCACAAGGGGGCGGGGAGCAGGCCTGGGACGTGCGTGGACGTGCAGGAGAAAATCGTACCGGTTTTAGTGACGAGAGTCGGCAGGAAGGGCCTCATTGTGGGAGTGTTCTTCCAGGCGAAATATTGCTGTGGGAGTGACACAATAGAGCACACGAGCACCACAGCGGACAGGTGAAAAAGGCCAGATGCGAAAATGACAACTGGGCCGGACGCGAAATATTTCTCTACAGAACCGGCGCGAGGTTGCCCTGTTGAAGGGTGATCGTAGAGCATGTGAGGGCTACAGAACACCGAGTTTCGCGGAGAGAACGGTCACCTGGGGGTGTCGGCCTGTTGGCCGGGGGGTTTCCATGGTCCCCAGGATTAGGCAAGGGCCAAATCCCTCCAGATCCTAGAAAATCGTCTCCTCCTGCCCTCCCCGCTGCACGCCAGGCCCTGAAACCGCACGCCGACTGGTACCAGGGGTGTTCAACGTCGGCCCATAGCGGCGCTGCAGCAAACGCGGCTGAATTCCGGACGTGTGCGTGTGGAAGCTGGTCGCAGCGAGATAGGCGGAAGCGACCTACCAGGAAGCGTGACGTTCCACACTGGTTGAGGCCCACAGGGGGCCGCGCACAGGTTACGGCACCGGCTACGGGAGGAGGGCAGCTCCTCCAGCCTCGAGAAGTGTTGTCTGAGGGACGACTCGAGAAGGTTTCAGGCCAAAAGAGGCAGAGTTGGGTGGATGCGACGGTTCCCCGTGTCTGCCACTTGGCGTGTGGAGGTAACAACCCGTGTGGAACACGGTTGTTCGCCCAGAGCTGCAGCCGCCTGCAGATATCGACCCACGGGGCACCGATCGATCCGCGGCTGGCGGGAGCGTGCTCCCTAAGTGTTGCTGTGCACGGGGATGCCGAGGTTGGCCACCGCGAGATGGCGTTGACGGAATCTCCGAACTGAACGTCATCCCAGATTTTTCGGGGAAGACTCTGTTTGCACCCTATTTATTTATTTTTCTTAATATGACACAACAAGTCCATCTCTATCATAGAAAAGAGTCAGCGACAGATTAACAATGGAATCATAGCGTCAGAGAAAACTACTGTGTGTCTACGATTTCCCAGACAGCATATAGGGACATCTCCCCTGTGGGTAACAGGCTCAACAAATCAGTTTGGTAGCTGTCTTGTGTGTCTCATATATGTTATGTTGGGAAGGTGCAGACGAAAGGTGTTGGGTACTGCTGTTGCTCGGTAGAATCCGGTGCGGCGGAACAAAAAAAAACTTCATGTTCTCTTTTGGCCAACTGGGCCTTGCGATTCAGCTGGACGGGGTTTGATCATCATCTGAATACCCAGTGGGGGGGGCGACCTTTTGAGAGATTGTTCATTCATCAGTGGTGGAGTACGAACTGTAGACTACATAAGACTACCATGTGCGTGCATAGACTACCCATGTTGTTGTTGTTGTCTTCACATTAAAAACCGTTCCGATCTCTCTCTACCCAGTACCTTCGTATGTCCGTACTGATACAACNAAACGGCCCCGAGGGGTCCGCAAGTCAATAGAAATCAACGACAGATATTCTGGAGTCCTCCACTCCCTCTGCGCGCTATGCGAGGTATAACTACTGGGACTAGGAGTCACCATCACGGGCCGGAGAGAATGAGGTAAACCTCACTGGTTCAATCTTGGTACTTCACAACGCAAGCAGAGACAAGGCCATCTGGTGCAAAAAAAGAGAAGACAATAAAAGGAAACAGCAGTACTAAAAGGAAGGAGAAAGAGAGCGAGGACAAAAAGGGACCAGGCCGAAAATAACAAGAAATAAGAGACAGAAAAAGGCACAGGGTGGAGAGACCACTAACGACAAGCAAACAAGCAAACACGCAAACATGGCCACCAACCAGCGATACATTGTAATGGTACGTCATCACCAGTGGGGGGTTGGTGCAATGGTACAGCGTCGGGGGGGCGGGAATTGGCTTAAAGAAATTCAATCCGGCACGTATCGCGCCACTCGGTCCGTCTCTTCTCGTTTGCTTTCTTCCCTCGCCGTCTCGTCCATCTCCTGCACCCCTCCCGCCCCATTGGTTGGTGGCTTGTGGTTTCGTTTGAGCGCCCATTGTCGGCTGGCCTCTTCTTCCTTCTCGTGCCAGGAGGTCATGAACCTCTCAGCTCCCTGCAGCACCGCCGCATGCCAGGGTACTCCCCCCCCTACCTTCGCGGCTTCCGTCCACTTTAACGTCGGTGCCGTGTCTTTCGGCACCGGGATTCCGAAACAACATGGATCGGTTTTCGTAGATTCGTGGTCGGCCCCGAATGCCTTCAGGTCGTCGAGCACACACTTCGGCCAGTTCTGTTCCTGTCCCCCCCTACG